TAGTGGGAATGAAATACAAACCAATAACCAACTAATTGCTAATGAAGTTTCAACGGGTGCACTTGCTTAATACCATTAATACTGCGAACATTGAGACGGAAATCAAATCCTGGAATTAGTTACGCCCGAGTTTTCGGATTCATGAAATGTTGCAACACCGATCCCAGCGGTGTTGCGCTATCCATGCAATGGAAATGAGTGCCGCTGTGTATATTGTTCTCTCTGTACGGTAATATACCATACCCGTACCGTATAAATGTAGCAGTCCCCACTGTCCATAACGCTGATTTCGCGGAAAATGTAGTGATTTGAATACCGATTAATATGGAACTACAATTTGTCCAATATTTTTATATATTTTCTTCATTTGATAATTTCATGTATGTAAAGATTCTTTACAAAATACAAAAGAATATTGGGTTTGGAGACAAGCTTTATTTATCTCTTCTTTTTTGTATTGGGCAATGGTATAAATAAGTTGTGATAACTAGTTATTTCAGTTCTAAATTTTGTATCGTAAATTTTTTTTTTAGTCATAATCTATAACATTTATATTTTTTTTTTAATTAATATCATGTGTTTTTAATGATTATGCAAAAAAAATTTTCCCATATAAACTTCCTCCCCTTTTCATCCCCTTAATGGTTGATTTCCAGGAAAGTTAGTTAAGTTTGAAGAGCTGACAGACAGACAGAAATACTTTCGTATTAATACTAATAATATGCATAGTCACATGATACTAACTTAAACCAACGTACTTTCACGCTAGCTCTACATAAATATATTTTATTGTAACTGGGGTATAAAGCAAAGATTTTATGGATGTCGATTTTCGGACAAATAATTGTCGGGGAGAAAAAGGTTTATTTTCATTTAAAATTTCACTTCTGCGATATTCATTCTGTTCCCATAAAACAATCGATCAAATCTGATCACCGTGGTTGTTTAAGCATAATGCGGGATAGACCCAATGGTTTGCTGTTAGTCGGACTGGAAATGCATAGTAGATACTCATTTAATATTTTAAGTAGTTGCAATGTTAATGCTTTCCTGTTTGCTTAATACGTTTTTGTAACAAGTTGTATCAGATTTTAAATCATCATAAATTTTAGTATTATAAACAGCACCTATTTTAACATTGATTGATTTGTTTAAAGGTTAAAATACTCGTTATTTCAAAGTAAGTATAACCCTACGCGATCAAACGAACAAACTTCTTTTATCAAAAAAGAAAGAAACTGAACTCCTGAGTCAACACAGCAAGTTTCACTGAACATTTGTCGAGTGCTTACATTTAGATGCACGCCACGCGCCGAAGATGATACGTGATAACACGAAAATCTCCCAATTGCTTACGTGTTCGAGCCGACGACCCTCCCGTCCCGACAGACCATTGAATAACTTCCCGCTTATAAATTAGTCTGAATAGGGTTGTTCAGTGGTTCAATCAGCATACGTTATTAAATTCTTGAGAAAGCAATTTATATCTCTTACTAGCTGAACCGGCGAACTTCGTACCGCCATATTTTTTTTGTATATTTTCGAATTTCCTGAAGGACTGGAAACCGTTAAACGGTTTAACTGTTTTTGCCCGCTGTCGATATTTTGTCAATATTTTAAAGATCACTCACAATCTTCTGTCTCATACAATCAATCATATTAAGACGTTTGAAAAAACTGTTTTTTTTTCTTATATGGACAAACCTTGTCCAGACAATATTGAACACGATAAAAAAAATATTATGTAATTTCGATGCAATATTTTTAAATTATGAGCGTAAATTTCGGCGATTATTTTTTATTTATAGAGAATTGGGTTAGAGCTTAGATTAAAACAAAAAGGGTAGATACGGCACTAGCCTCACAAAAGTGATCCGCATGAATTGTGGTCCACGACCCTAATCGCTTTAGTCACAACTTGACATGCAAACAACGTACATGAACGCCAAAAAGAAATATTGATAATATTTTGTGTTTATATGATAAAACAATGCCTAAGTGTGTTTTTAAAAAGTGCTCAAATTGATCAAGAACTAAAAATAAAACCCACGGCATCACTTTTCATTCGTAAGAACTATAAAATATATTTTTTCATAAAAATTGCTGTTTATTTTAAATCTTATTCGATAGTGACGTCGAGTACTGGTCGGAAATGCAGTGACGCGGATCTCGCCGTCTCGTTCGCGCTGCCGTGGGATCAGTTTTTGTTTGATGCAAGTATGAGCGTACCGTATCTACCCTTTTTGTTTTAATCTAAGGGTTAGAGTGACATAATACCTATGCCTATTTTTTAGTTTTCGTTTTATTTTCCTATTTTGATATAATTATTTACGAATGTTACTACATTGACTAAAGAAACACTAAAAATATAAAAAAATGATTATCTAATTGTTGTTCTTAGAATTATACATTTTAGAAAATTTGTGCAACATATGATGTGAAGATTCAATTATATCTTACTAGCGTCCACCCGTGATTTCGTTACTTTTTTGAAAATCTCTCAGGAAACTAACATTTTTTCAGAATAAAAAGTATTCTATGTCTCAATCCAGGTCATAATCTATAAGCCTACCAAAGGACATGGTTAAATTTTGTATGAGCGGCTGCCCTAGCAATGTATAAATATTGTACTTAGTAATATATAATGCAGAATGGCTGAATATTTATAATTTCTATGAAAAAGGGCTCAGAAACTTTTGATGAGGTCACAATCTTGAAAATTATGAGATCTCCTACGACGTCCTTGCTACGTTTGATAAAAGATGTTGCCAATTATTTACCGAGTCATTAATATCACATTTTCTTAGAATATTTCCTCCTATTTATCTGATTAACACTTCACAAAAAGTATTTTAAAAAATAAAAATAAATACAAATAATTTGTTGTCGTCGGCCTGACATGAAATCTGTGAAGTTTTATTTTGTTCATGTGCAAAAATCAAAGCATTAATTATCATACAGCCTTTTCTCAAGCCTGATCAGAAAAATAAAATCTATTTTTTAGACCTTCAGTGATTTGTTATAATAAAAATAAGGGTAATATGTCATAATTTTTGGGAGTTTTGAATTAATATTGTTTATTTCGATATACTGACAGAAATATTTTTATGTATACATTTATTGTTCATTTATTTTTGTAAAATAGAATATTTTCCTTTTGAAACAGACCTGAAGTCAATTTTTATACTTTTAAATTTTTGATTATATCACGAAAGTTGTATGAGAATTATAAACGCGTAATAATTAATAAAAAAATATTATAAAGTTACGGGCTAGTGCAAAATAATTATACACGTTAAGGGCAGTTTCTTAGCCATGTCCTTTCATTCAAATACGTTCAGTAGTTTTTGCGTGATTAAGTAATACACTAACAAACATTGCAAACATACACACATTGTTGTAAGACAATCCTACTAATATTGTTAATGTGAAAGCACTTAATTAGGACTTAAAATATTTTGAAACTTTGCTGATTCTCAGAGAGTCGTCAGTCATATCAATCGTCAGTTTCTAACCATAGTGATTCGATAGTATTGTTATTAAAAGTAGATGTAGTTAAATTTATCGATGTCTATGTTGCATCGATATACATCCCTAGTTTACTAAGAAAGCAAGATAAGTAGCTACACGTTGCCGCTTTTTGCCTCGGTTCACGCAGGTGAGTACGCTTTATCGATGGACCAATTGATTCACGTCGTGAATTCAAATCAGGATCTTCATGAGGAGTTTCGAATCGGGATTATTTATGTTCCCGTCCTTATCCGTCCTTGTCAGCTATTTATGTGTCGGGTGTTAAGCCAATTTTAGTTAGCAAGAACGAAAGTGATTCGAGAAAGTCGTTTTGGAAAGGATTTGGATAAAATAGGATAAGGATTTGATGCCAAGTTACGTAAGGCAATTTAACTAAATGAGGTACTTTCATGACCTTTACAAAACAAAGAATATTATTATTTGGGGTATTTCAATATTTATTTTAGATTCATGCATACTTCTTCGAATTTTATTATTTTCCTTCTTTTAATTTCATAAAATCTTCCCGATATAGAGATACAAAGGGTGAACGGGCCATATATACCACCCAGTGCAGATTGGTAGGTGTTGAAAACTGCTAATACCAATCGATGGCTTGATGCCACTTGAAGCACAAAAAACTCAACATATTAATTGTTTCTTAGGTTTTCACGCACATCAATCATTAAATAAAAGTAGTTTTAACGGGTTAATGCACGAAACTTTAATTATTTATTGACGTTTCGCAACCTTTTCAGGTCTGCGTTATCAGAATACTGATTTTTTATTTAATTTTGTTGAGCTACCTTCGAAAGACTTTTATTGAACGTTCGGTTATTTCATTGGAAGATTTTTAAAATTTTATTGTCCATGTATGAATTTATTAGTTAATTTAGTTAATAAAGTACTTTATTTAAAATTATTTTTTGTAATTTTGAGTTTATTTATTTGACCCTGACTACTGTAAACTACCACCGGTTCCAAAATTGGGAGACCTTTCTGAGAAGAACCGGCGAAACAAACTCAGAGAGGCTTTCTATCTCCTTCTTATGTTAAATCATGCAAACAAAAAGAACTAATAGTATCTGGTCTTGCAGTGTGTGCTCGGGGTTGGGATTTTATCTCTTGTATAATGGGTTCCCAAGCTGGTGGTATATACCAACCATCTTCCCTATTGAAATTTGGATATTTTTTAATCTCAATAGCCTCGCGTATCATTCTAGGAACGAATCGTTGTTCAGTTGCAAAGATCTGTGGTTCATCAAATCTAATGTAATGGTTTGGTCCCCCTAATGCATGTTCACATACTGCAGACTTATTTTCGCGCCTATGTTTCATACCTGCGTTATGTTCTTCTGCCCGAGTCCCTATACTCAACATATTAATTATTTGCCTACCGTTTCTTTAACCATCCTAATAAGATTGCAATAGTGCTTGTAATAACACTGTAAGATTTTCAAATACTATAAATATAACATTTTAGAACTTACAATGTACATGGAGCATTATCCTCTTGCTGACTGAAGGCGGAACTCCATTGGCAGCGATACAGAGATACGCACCCATCTCTGATCTTGTTACTTTTGTTAGGTTTACTATCTCCCCCTCAATCGAGGTAACTGAAAAAATATATATATATTATAGAGTAAGAAACCTCTATCACAAAGGAAGAAAGGTAGGGCACGGTCGTTTTTCTAAATAAGTTTCTTTAGGTTATTCCACTACTCCCTATTAACTCACCACAACTCATTTCACTTCGCCTAAATTAGTAAAGTGAAAAAAAAGTTTTTTTTTTACGATAAAAGGGTGGATATCAAGTGTATACGCCTTACGGTTAGCGGCGGAATGCTGCGATACCAAAGCTATCACTTGCGCCATTGCCTACCCAGACCCAATCTCCTACCTCGTAGTGCTAGAACTTTATTACAGAATGCATTAAAATTACAATATTAAGTAGCTTTGATAGCATTATTTACCATTGTTTGCTTCTATCAGTAAAGTCCACATCTGGAAGACCAGATCGTTTTTAAATTTTTTTTAATAAATAAAAAATAATGCTACTTATTTCGGATAAATCTTGCAATTCGACTGCATGAACTAAGTAATGAACTGTGTCAAAAAAAGGTTTTCTGAGAATTACTAATGATATAGTTTAACATACTCGCTAGTCGCTTCTTGATAAAAAAATTTAGCTTCTTCTTCCCTATCCCTATAATTTAGATCTCAAATCATAGGATCATATTCCAGTTGTTGGTACATATTTTCTAAGAAAACCGTTGTTAGTTTGCACACTTCCAGTGCTTACTTTACATTTCGTCTAGTCGTTGGAAAACACCTTCCATTCGGCGAAAGTTAACGGGTTCAGGTAAACAAGTGCCGTTAGTGGTTTCGAGTCGGGCTGTTTTCCTGACACCTTGCTCAAATGGCGCCTGAGTACGTTTACAGCCATTATTCAAACAAGAGGATAAAAAGCTGGGGCAATATTTTTCGAAGGGGCTGAAGGTTTAGAGTGTAGAGCTCTTGAGCTCGCCACGAAGCTTCGTTAGCAAACAATACGCGGACAGAGAACCCGTAGAGCCGCCTCAGCTGTAGCAAATGCCAACATAATAATATGGAATGCGATATTATTCAATTATTCAATAATCCAAAGCCAATTACAGTTATGAACTCATAATGTAAACCAAATCTATTTTTGATACCAAAAATAACAAAATAATATCGAGTGATATTCTTTTAAATATAATTTAATCACAGTTACCGTTTTGATACACATGTCGTAATAAATAAATGTATGAGACTTAAAGTTTTTTGTGGCGTATAAAATATCGTCGGCCTGATAAATCACAAAACAAAATGAATGGAATATCACTCGAAACAATATTTGAAAGTTGAACATTTATGTAGAACATAAATATTATATTATAAAGTCTGATATGTTCCGACCGCTCAATGGATTTTCTGTGCTGTCTCAAGACGGGGCAGAGTAAACTTGGCCTGTCGATGTGTCATAAGTCAAGTGAGGACCGCTTACTAACTGTAGTTGTCGTAGTCGCCATAGACGTACTAACGAAGAGACATGGTGACGGAAACTAATTGATGTCACTTAATTTGAACGAATAAACAACATAACTTGAGCTAGTTATTAATTAAATTATAAAATGCTGTCAAAACCTATTACTAGTATTATTTAAAACTGCTTTGAATCAATGCAAGAAAGATTCTACGTAGGACGGCTCTTGCGTCTTATTTACATTGTTTTTATTAAGATAATCTTTACAATAGTACCAAATGAACAATGATGCTTCCGCTATCGCGATATTTTAAACTACACAACAGGTTTTAATGCAATTTTCAGCAATTTCAAAAAAGAGTGATTTAAGAGGACGGTGTATATTATACATAATAGTTAATATAGGACTATAGTAGTGACTATAAAAACTATACGAAGCGAAGCGAAGGCGGGTCACCATATAACATAATCAACGCACGTACCTACGTTTACCCTATCATGACCTATGCGAGTGTTTGCTTCGCCCACGTACCTCCGTCGCGTCCTCAACCCTTACAAATGCTGCAAAATTGCGTACTGCGCGGTGCTACGGCTTGCCCGTAGTATGTGCATAATATCGATTTCCATCGCCATCTCAAGATAGATTCCATCGCGAAGTATATGAAGGACGCTTCGAGAAGTAACTTCGATAAAGCCGCGCATCTGCCTCTAGTTAAAACACGTCCGCCCTCCCGTTCTCTACTTGTAGCTCCCTCCGATTCCGTCGGCAAGCATGTCTTAGAATACCCCGACGACGAAGCCACTCGTGCCAACGCGCCTACGACTCCTCCCACACAGGCCACAAATACCAACACTACACAGCTAGCAAACTTGCATACTAGCTTAGCTTTAGGCAAGGCAGACACCGCACCCGTAGGATAAGGATGCGAAGACCCGGTCTACACACTAAACGCTAAACCAGGTACAGATATGTACCTGGAGGCCTACTCTAAATCAACAAAATACGAAATTTTGATCGAAACTTCGCACTTTTCTTACTATGTTTCTGTTTCGTTTTTAACTATAATAATATTCGTAGTCGGAAAAGAGATTGAGGTGTAGATTTTCTAAGCCTACTCAAAGAAAGCTTCAATTGAGGTAATTAAATTTTGTTTGAACTTCGTTTTGGATAAAGAGAGTAGACTCCTTGGGCGTTTTCCTCCGAGGCCGAGGATCGAGCCGAGGTCCGAGTCTCAGAGACGCCCCCTAGTTGAGCCGACCCTCTCAGGTTCGAATGGCCTAGAGGCTCCAGACGTAGAGAAGAGCCATCCGCCTGGAATACCTCTAAAGGCACTCGCCAATTCTCGACTTAGGACCTTAGGATCTCGCCGTCCCCAAACTGGTGATGCTGTAAAGGTCATCTGCGACCAACAGCATATATACAAAAACCTGCGTTTGCGTACATGTATTTGCAAAACTTATTCGAAATTGTATTTAAGAAAAGATTTTAGTATTAACACTTAAAAAATGAAAACTATTGAAGTGAAGATAATAATATCTTTTGCCTTCTATTCAACTGTAGAAAATATAAGGAATGGTTTCGTCGAAAATTCAATAAGTCTATGACAAATTAAATAATTGAATTTGGACCTTCCAACACATAGTGCCCTCAAACATAATGGAAAATCAACATTGGCTGTTCGTTGGATAAGAATTCATGCTTCATTTTAATTAAGAATGCTAAAAGTGTTATATCGAATATTGCTAATTATTATTATTATTCTGTATTAAGACAGGCTTGCCACTCCCCAAAGAAGATATTTAATTAGCCATGGAAATAGATAAGTCTTAATGGATTCTCTTATAATTGGTCTGGTTATGAAACGTCTTGTTGGGCTCCATGCAGACCTTCTGAAAATATTATTAAATATTCAAGTTATTTGATAATGGGGATTAATAAGCCAATGCTATTCTGTATCAGTTTCAAACTCCGCAGATGAAAAGCGTCGAATAGAATGATGGCTCAGTTAATTTACATCAGTCTCGGAGCAAGTTTCCGCCATTCATTCGCTTATCTGCATAATTTGTTGTAGAACACGGAACAAATAGGCACGCGACACGCCGTTGTCAGCGGAATATGTTTTATGCGAAACAATAAAGGGCAAATTTTGAATAATATCCTTTGTTTACTAGTCTCGCCATTATGATTATTGCGCTATCCCTCCATGAATATCTTAAAACATTACGCTAGAGCGGTTTGATTTTTAAAATTAATTTTTATAAGAAGTACATTGACTGAATGTTATTTATGCTACTCTTTTTATTTTAAATTCGAGCTATGTTTTGTAAATTGCCTATTATTGACTAGTCCTCGTAAGTTCGTGCGTTTTCGTTTAAAATTTTTAATAATACAAATTATATATTATACATAATGTAAATTGATCTGCTTTGCCAGTTCAAGATACGTTATATCGTTTTTGAATATGTTTGATATTTTTTTATGAATAAAATTGCGATATTGTTAGGACACAAGTTAGATACTAATTAAAAAATTGTAACGATAATAAATGCCGCTAGTTGGCGTTCGGTTCGCTAAGATTTATCACAAAAACTGCAAAACAAGTATCACACTTAAAGTGATTTATGTAACGAACTCTGTAAGTTGGGATAACAAATTCGAAAGAGCTTCGTCCATTAAAAACTATATTTGTCGAGTTTGAACCCCGAAGTTGCCTCATTGGAATATTAAGTGGAGAAACATTGGGCTGCGTAATGGATAGCCTGTATTGTTTCCTGCTCAGATTTATGGAGGTAACTTGCAACGGCTTCTTTAATTAGACTTCTTCACTCAAATTGATGATTGTTATTGATGTCAGTTAATTTAAAATTGGTAGGGTGGAGTTTTACTTTGATACTTACTCAGTCAATTACAGATAATTTGGGTGGTGGTTTTGAGTTATCGCGTTTGTTTATTGCTTTTGACTTTTTGTAGTTAAGCCTATTTAGAATGGACGTTGGTATTGAAGGTTTTCTTTATTTTCTTCTTCTTCTTCTATTTCATTATTTTCTTGTTATGACCGAATTTTAAAATTTTCACTATACTTTTAAGTACCTAGTTAAAAACATATTTTATGTATAAATTTTTGTGCATTGTAACAAATATAATAGAACGCAAAAAAATAATTACATAAAATATGATGTATTAACATCATAATTTTATTCTTACGTTATAATTTCTTGAATACTGTGCAGTATTGTCAAATTTATGAATTATGTTATCAATAACCTTACCCGTGCACAGCAGCATTTCAAATCTTATAGGTATGTACCTATAAGATGCATTACAGTACTTGACAGTACATGTGTACTGTTAAGTAAATTTATATGTGCTCTGCGGTTATATCCATGCTTTGGTCGTGAATGGTTACTATTGAGTTCAGTTCGGTGCGAGTCATTACTGTAGTACTCTGTTGGCTTAATGAATTGACTGATGGCTGGAGAAGGTCTGAACAGTGGTGGGGTTAAGTGAAAACAGCTGATTAATCGTTGCTGTCACTACCTGCAGTTGCTTCTACTTGAAAAGGGAATCGGAAAATGGTTTTCGTTTGTTTTATTTACTTTTTATTTTGA